AAAGGTGGTTCCTATTTTTCTACTTGCATTTTTACATGCTTTCAAACTGCTAGGTTGGCAGAAGCTGGGACAAGAAACGGGAGCACTCCTTTATGCAGCACTAGGGATTCAAACCGCTGAAGTGTCGACCTTTTTGATCGACAAGCTCAACATCTTAGCCACTGAACTACCACGTCCCTTCCTATCTACAATATAAACGACCAGATCTTCAGAGACTTATGAAAGAAAAATTGGCATGTGGCCTTCCAAACACAGAAGGCAAATTTCCTGAGTCCAACAAGGTGACATCATTTAATGGAAGGACCTGGAACCTGCGCCGTCTGCTAGATTGATGGGACAAGTAGAAGCATTGGGGGAATGGTAGTCCTGCAAGGATCCTGTGCCTATTCCCTGGAGGGCCCAATTTACAGTTAATGATCAGTACCTTGGATCGTATCCAAAAGCCTCAGAGCAGTTGTTATATGGAAATAATGAGAGATGCCAAAAACACTGCCCTCAGGATCAACTGCAGCTTCAGGGGCAACTGCATGTACAGCGTGTTGCAGTAACCCAACTGTAAAAATAATGACTAAGGCATCAGTTGATGTGAGCAAGGCTTTCCAGCCCAGACCTGGGAGCAATTGGTACACAAGTTGAAGAAATGCACCCCAGGAAGAATTACAGATGGAAAAATCTCCAAATCGCCGCTACTCAGCTTGGCAGGGTTGAATTAAGTTCTCCCCTAAGTAGACCATCACAGCGTCCCAGCACTTTGGGAGCATCATTTGATTGGGGTGGAGGTGCACAATTTGGTATCTCCAGGAAGATGGATGACCTGATGCAGGTATTAATAGGAGTAGTGAGACATTCTGTCATCCTTAAATTCCTCATTATATTCCTGCAGGTCTCAAATAAATTGGGAGAACTTTTCTCTGGTGCCCAGATTAGCAATAAGGGTTGGCTCCTTCTCCAATTTTGCACCATCAGAACTTATTCAGGCCAAATTTCTAAGATTGGCCTTTCAAGTCCTAAAATGTTTCCCCAGTGTCACCCTAAGACTAGAGACAGGTGTCATGAAAGTGGAGGCTAGAGTGTAGGTGACCATGTTCAACTATGAGTTTAGATTATTTGTTTTTTCTCCTTGGCCTTGCCCCTCTAACTATGAAGGATAATTTTCAGTCCATGTGGAAAAAGACAATGACAACTAAAACAACCTTGTGATGGAAAGTAGCCTGGATTCCCAGGAGGGAGGGGGTGCATTCCGGAGGAGAGAGAACTCAGTTTAGATCAGTGGTTCTCAACCTTCCCAATGCTGCGACCCTTTAATACAGTTCCACATGTTGTTGGGACCCCCAACCATAAAATTGGTGTCTCGTTTCCTAAGACCATCGAAAATGTGTTTTCCGATGGTCTTAGGTGCCCATGTGAAAGGGTCATTCGACCCCCAAAGGGGTCCCGACCCACAGGCTGAGAACCACTGGTTTAGATAGATGTGAACTCTCACACTAACGATGTGAGAGAAATAGGGTGAAGATGACTCCTCCAGAGGTGGGTTTCAAATCCTGGCGCTGGTTCGCTCATGCACATTCAACCTTTCTGTATATGCGCACAAGCTTCTGTGCATGCACAGAAGCGTCCGGGCGGTGGGTGGAGCCTCCTGCTGCCGCCACTACCGGTTCGGCTGATCCGGGAGCAATCCATCTTTGGGCTCCTCTCTAATAGTTCCCAGAGTACATGCTTTATGAGGATGGTAGCTTGGCTTTAGTTTGCCAAGATTCTGTCCATAGGTGAGGAACAATTTTAAAAACCTGCTTGGAGGAATCACAATGTTTTGGGGGTTTTTTTGGCACCTGAATTCTTAAGATTCTCTCCAGGTTGTCNATATGCTGACTCTGTAAACCGCTTAGAGAGGGCTGAAAGCCCTATGAAGCGGTATATAAGTCTAACTGCAATTGCTATTGCTACATGTTACTGTTTGGCTCTGACTAATTCCTTTTCGGAATATGATTTTGGACTGCACAACTTTAATTCCTGAATCCAGTTGTGGACATAACAGTGTTATACTGAATGGCTTCCTAGTTTAAGACTTCTGTTGTGGTTCTAGTGCATGCACTCTAATTATTACCTTCTGGAATTCCTAGCCTTGACTGGAGAGAGTGGATATTGCAGTTATAACATCTGTTGTGTACATGTTTTGGTGTATTGTGAATTTCCTGGTTTTAGGTGGCTCTTGTTTATATGGCACAGCCATTCATATTGGTGTGTAGGTGTACATTTCTACTACTAGGTATTTATTAAAAATCTACCTGAAAATCAAAAAGACTGAGTTTTTCTTTTGCATTTTTATGGATTGTTTTATGTTAAATATATATGCTTCTTTGCTCATAAATATGTCATGCCTTTTTGTTGTTGCTGCTGTTGTTTACTTTTGCTGATGGCAGGTTTTACTATGTGTAATTTACTGCTCAAGCAGAAGGACATTTTTTTTTAGAATCAGAGAAAAGTAAACTCCCAGTGGGAAATTAAAATCCCACAATTTTCTAAAATTACTTTTAAAAAGAACACACCAAATACCAAAATGGCTAGAGCAAATAGTTCTTAATTGTCTTTAAATGCCCAATATCTAATTCAATCATAATATTTTCTTTTTAAGAGTTTTTCCGTGGGATTTTAAATTTCAAGTACTGTAGTAGTGTTGTGGTCCATTGGCGGCCTGCAGAGCTGGCAGCAGAATCAGACAGTGAGGAGATTGGGGAAGAGCATGGGCCAGTCCTGGAGTCTGGGGAAGACTCAGAGAAGGGCTCTGCATTGGAGGCAGAGAAGTGACCAGGGCCATCTGGGAGTTATGTGCTGCCTCCAGAGTCAGACATCAGCGAGGCGGAGAAACAGGGGAGCCTGTTCCCAGTGCGTGCATGTGCAGAGCTGCTAGAAGGCACGGACAGTTATGACAAACAGAACAATTCAGAAGTAAGGCTTGGAGGTAATTGGCCCCTCCCATAGGACATAGAGGAGGAGCAAAGGCACATGAGACTTTGCAGGAAGCAACTTTGTTCGTTCTGGTCGGTTTAAATTTTGAAGCTTCGTTTTGACTCTTTGCTCCATGTGGCCTTGTAAGCTAATTGTGAATTAGGTCTTTGGCAGCATTTCAAGGAAGATAAAGGTGGGTGCTTATCAGCCTTATCCCGAAGGACTGTGGCAGACTACTGTCGGACTCTTTACAAACTATTTGTGACTTATTACGGGCTGTGAGTGAACATAATTCACAGTCTTTGAAATAAAAAGAAGGTTTTTGGGACTAAACATGTGCTTTTTACTGTGTCAGGAAGCCTAGGTCAGAACAAGTAGAAATTGTTCTAACAATGCACTGTTTCTCTATCAATGTTCTTTGTTTGTCACAATATTACCTGGGACTGATGGTAGTATCAACTGTCTGTTGCTGGGTACTATCGATGTACTGAGTACTAAATTCTTGCCAACCAACATGGAAAGGTAGGCTTCTAACTTACTTGTACCTTTTGCTATGGAGGTAGAAAAGCAATAATATCTGTTTAGGATTTAAAATGGGATCCTAGCAGAGGGGGCGATTCGCATTGGTTTGGGTGAACTGGTTGTTAACTTTTTGCACAGTTCGGAGAACTGGCTAATCCCATCACTGGCTGGCCCTACCCTGGCCCTCCCAGCCATTTCTTATCACCTCACTCACCTTGGTCGTGGCATAGTTGCTGCTGCTCCCTGACTCCATTGTTCGCTAGCTCTGCTTGCCTCAACCACACGGACTCTGCTGCCCAGCCCACTTGCCTGCCTTCGCCCTGGCCTCCCACATGACCCAGCTCCCCACCTGCCTGGTGCGTCTTCCTTCACCTCTGCCAGTGTGAACAGCCTGCCGCCATCACCACCTCCTTGCAGGTGTGAACGGCTTGCCACCACCTCCTCTTTGTTTGCATGAATGGCTTGCCACCACCACCTCTTTGCTGGCCTGAACCGAGGCGGCAGTGGTGGCAGTGGTTTGGGTTTGCAAAGA